TAGTTAAGCATATGATTTTTAATGAAATTATAATTAACTAGAATATATTTCTTCATAAAACCATTAAAATATATTAATTCACCTTGTTGAGGTTTTATATTTAATGTTATTGATATATTTTTATAATTTATTAAAGTATTTATAATATTTCTATACGTGTCTTATTTTTTTTCTAATAAGCATGTATATCCAAAAACTTTTCTAATACACTTAACATTTCTCATACTTTGAACCTTGATAAACCCTATACCATCGCAAACCCAAGTCTCCGCTGAGAGACATTAGCGAGTAGCTGGTTGGCACAAGCACAAAGCGGCCCCATGTAGAAAATGCAAGGTGAGCATTGAGGGAGTCCCAACTCCCAAGTCCAATTAATAAATTCATATAAACTGCAACCCTATTCAATTGGTTCATGGGGTTTCAATCATCAATGGCGTCCAATTTGCATCATGTACCTCATGATCGTTCAAGGGTACGATTGGTGGTGGCCAGTGGGCCACCAATAACAACTAATGGTGTACTAAACTGATGACGCACGACCATTACAGCAGGACATCAGATGGAATCAGACACACGATTGCTCATTCGTTCCTACGTGGCGAAAGCATGGGCGTTCACTGCATGGTTTTGTGGGTTCAGTTTGCTAGATTTTCCCATCGCCCAACATCACATCACCTTTTTCAGCTTTCTTGCTTTTGTGCCTTTTACAGCTGCGGAAGCCAAAGACTCAAAGAGAGAAGATCCTCTTCCTCTTCCCCTACTTGAATGTTGTTCTTGTTATTTATTTGACACAACGCAATGACACGGATTAGGGACCACCCTGCCCGAATATAATAAAATCAATCACCATCACCATCCTTCTACTCGCATCACGACACTTCCCCACCACCCCCGTTAGGTAAATGAATCGAGATCCACAATACTAATACAAAATTTGTTGAGAAATTCTCCTCGGATGTCACTGGACACCCAACTGTCGAAAATATCCATATGTTTAGTTTCTGTGTCTATGTGATACACCCTTCACCTATAAGGGTTATTTTGTACTTTCATAATTTAAAAAAGAACGTAATCATGATGTGACTAGGGACGACGGTATTTTAACAAAATGATAAAAACTCTGACTCTGATCTCACGTGGCATCTATCAGACGGGGAGAAGTGGGGCCCCTACTTACAAGCATCCTACCTGTAAAGGACATCCTGTGGGGCCCTCTTTTACTTCCCGACACGAAGACACCATGAGACGACAGTAGTTCCGGGAATGGGATTCCAAGAAAACTATGACCCGTGGTTAGGGTTTGGAGACTTGGAGAGGATTGATGTTGAGTCACGACACGTAGACATGATGAGAAAGGGCAAAAGGGCACATCAAACCCCTATTGCAATACTTGGCCGATGATGGCACTCCACATCATATCCACACATGTGAGGCCATCACACATCACAATGACGTAGCGTCTGTTTGGCATCGATAACACATTTGTTTGGCATCGTTGTTGTTGCTCCAAAAAACGGCACCACATCAGCGCCATGTCGGAAAAAAAGGTGCTCTATGAAACGAGCATTTGTTTGGAACCGTTTTTCCATAAAAAATGGTACTCCAAGCCACGCTTTGGAAATCAGGAAGGCATGGCTTGGAGCAACGTCGAATTTGGMATTTCTTGGAGTTGCAACTCGTTGCTGCCAACATAGATGTGAGGTGGTAGTGATGTTGCACTAGATAATGGGTACCAGTGCTGAAAATGTTTCCTGGAGCATTGGTATCAAACAGAAGAAATTGTTGTTGCTCCAAGAAACGTCCTACCTGGCAGCAACGGTTCCAAACAAAAAAAGACACCATTTTCTTAGAAAACGATGCTTCCAACCCACACATCAACAACACCATTTTTTGAGAAAACAGTGATGTATCTGCAGCATCAATGCCAAACATATACAACGTTGTTCCAAAAAATGGCAACACATCAGCGCCACGTCAAAAAATGATGCTCCAGGAAACGCATGCTTGTTTGGAACCATTTTTCCATAAAAAACGGTGCTCCAAGCCATGCCTTGGAAATCGGGGAGGTGTTGTTTGGAGCAACGCCGAATTTGGCGTTTCCTGGAGCTACAGCTCGGTGCTGCCAACAAGGACATGAGGTGACAATGACAGGGACATGATGCGGCAATGGATAATAGGTACCAGTGCTGAAAACACTTCTTGGAGCATTAGTACCAAATAGAAAATGTTGTTGTTGCTCTAAGAAACATCCTACCTAGTAGCAACATTTCCAAACAAAAAAAAGACATCATCAAAAAACGGTGATTCCAACCCACACATTAGCAGAGAAAACGGTGCTGCTGATGTGTGGGTTGGAAGCACCATTTGCTTATGTGTAGGTTGGAAGCACCATTTTCAGAAAACGGTGCCTTTTTTTTGTTTGGAATCGTTGTTGCCAGATAGGACGCTACCTGGAGCAACAACAACTTTTTCTGTTTGGTACAAATGCTTCAGGAAACATTTTCTGCACTTCTACCCGTTATCCAGTGGCACATCATTGCTTTGTTGGCAGCAACGAGTTATAGCTCCAAGAAACGTCAAATTTAGCGTTGCTCCATGCCATGCCTTCCTGATTTCCAAGGCGTGGCTTAGGACACTGTTTTCTATGAAAAACGATTCCAAACAGATGACTGTTTCTTGGAGCACAATTTTTTCTTATATGGTGCTGATGTGGCGCCATTGCTTCAGAAAACAGGCAACGATGCCAAACAGCTGCGTAGAGTATAAAGATTGGCTTGCCCTTTGGATCCGTAGAAAATACGGAGTGCAATACACATCACATAGCCACCTCAGAAGTTTGATTCTATACTTTCTTAAAAATACGGTAATGATCACAGTTGCCAATTGGTGTGTACTTTATGGAACCCATCTAATCTGACACCGTCCTAAGCATATTCTGATATTTTGCGGTTGTTGGTAAAAACTATACTGAAAATTAACAGAGAGGTTTAGGTATAGCATATTCTGATATTCTGCAGTTGATGGTAAAAAGTTTATTTTTTTAGGTACTTTTTACTCGGATAAGTGATAATTATATCTTAGCTGGATAAATAACTTTCCCAATTGGGAGGAAAGTTTCCAATACTTAAATGGGATAAAAATGACTCTTTTAATATTAGATTTATATGACTAAAATCGTCATTTCCTTATTTGCATGGAAGATAAAAGAAAATAGTAAATGCACTTCTGGGTAAGTCACCCGAATAAGTGCATTTATCCGGATAAATTACAGAAAAGCGAATGAAGCCTAAAGATCACCATGCAGGATGATACAAATTACGATCTGCTCCTCATAAAGCGCTTCTCACACTATTACCAAAAATATAAAAAAGCGCTTCTCACACCGAATTCATAGTCACATTTCACCATGTATTGAAAACATCTCCAATGAATGATAACAAAAAATTACGAGAGATGTTTCTAATACATGGTGAGGAAACACCCCTTCCCCCAACATACATCAACATATATACAATGTCATAAATAACCGAATATCATGTATAAGGGGATTTTTAGATATACTAAAAGTTCAAAGTATCTACATGATATAAGTGTATTGTATCGTATCCTTGAGTTGCTAAAATACTAAGGCCCCGTTTGGTTTGTGGAAATAAGGGTCTGGAATTGGAATTGGAATCGAAATATCCTATTCCGATTCCAACTATTTGGTTGAGCGGAATCAGAATGTCATTCCCATTCTTGCTGGAATGGTATTCCCCCATTTGAGGGAATGGCCATTTGTTACCCCTCTCTTGAGAATGAAATTCTATTCCTACTGATGTCAATTCTCATTCCTATCTGAACCAAACAGACTATGGGAATAGACAATTCTAATTCCGATTCCAAAGGTTTTCAATTCCGATTCCAAAGGTTTTTTATTCCAATTCCAAATACAAGTCAAGCGGGCCTTAAATACATAACTTAAGGTCCATTTGATTCGCATTCAGAATCGGAATGGTTTATTCCCATAATATGTTTGGTTCAAACAAGAATGGGAATGGAAATTGAAGTCAACATGAATAGGATTTCATTCCCAAGAAAGGAATAGGAAATAACCATTCCCTCAAATAAGAATGGGATTCCGATTCCACCCAATCAAACAGTTATAATCGAAATAAACCCATTCCGATTCCAGACTACTATTCCCGCGAACCATACGGAGCCTTAGATATCTGACCCCCAACTTAAAAGGTAATGCCTTTTCTAAATAAAATAAATACTTCAGCGATAAATACATAACCAGATATGAAATAGGCTATCCAATCAAAAGTATAAATACTTCGGCGATCCAATTGTACCAGCAAACTAACTTTTTTATTCTTAATTAGGTTTTATAGCTCCTTGGGCACATGCTATGCAAATTATGACTTGGCATCTGCTACAAACTTTCGTGGTCCACTCGTTAGAAACTTGGTTAATAGTTACAGCCATTCCTTCAGAAAGTTTATATATATATATATATATATATGTGCAGGGAGAGATCTGTGGGCACCAGAGGCTGTCGAAGGTAGACAGCCAAAATTTTTCCCAAAACCTGAAATTACATAAATGCTCGGTCGTGGATATGTCCTATTGACTGCGCAGGTCCATTTTAGTCATTCTACTTTTAAGTAGTCATTTTCATCAGGAAAAAACAATTCCAAATTTCCAATGCCACTTGGGGATTGATAATTTTGGATATTTCATGTAAAATAGAGATGGTAGTAACCCTAGAACGTGTGTGCATGATGATGGTCAGTCACCTGCAAACCCTACCGCACAAAACACCAAGTTTTTAACAGTAGTAGAAAAAGAGAGAGAGTATGACTGATATGACCAAAATGGTCTCCGCCTCTTGGTGTTATACAGTTGGAATTACACTAAACTTACAACAGTAAAAATCCTACCATTCCTACTAGACATGCAGATGCCCTGGCTTTTGTTTTTTAGGTATATATCAGTGATGGTCTGAGATGTCAAATTGCCACTCCTCAGTCCTCTACCACCTCTATATATACCTCTCCAATCAGTAATTTCTTCATCCCATTCATAGTTGAAGCTTTCTCCCTTCGATTTGCCATTCCCCTCAACCTAGCTTCCACAGGCTATTTTTCTTTGGATTGCAATGGCCACTGTTGAGGTAATTCGATTCATGCTTCTGATTTAGCTCTTAGGGTTTATGTCCATATATATCCGTCTGTTGCACTTTGGCAGCCTATATGCATCGATCGGAAAACGGACTTCGATGTTGATCAACATATTCTCCATTTTTGTTTTTTCCATAAACCCGTTTGCCGATCAACATATAGTGAAGTTACAGAGTGGATTATGTCGATCCACCAGCTGAAATGATTGACAACTCCTTCGGCCTTCAATAAGCTTCCATCCAAATTAATCCATCTTAAAAACTTTTAGTACTAACTAATACTGTAATATTTCAAGTATTATATATGGGTTGTATCGGCCGGGTTTCTGAAACTTTTCATGTTTGGCATTAATTAAGTATCTGTAGATTTATCAAGGCTCTGCTTATTTCCAATTAGACAATAAGTTGACATCCATGAAAATAGATCCTTCTTTTAAAAATTGACTGTGTTTCTTTTAATTTGTCTTGTGCTTATTTGTGATTGTGATGAGCATCTGGGCTCTGCAGGTTGTATCAGCAACAACCGCATTGCCAGAGAGTCAAGATACAAACGAGGAATTGAACAAGACTCAAGAAGCTACCACCGAAGAAGTGACAGCAGCAACACCTATATCGTCAGAAGCAGTGGCAGAAGAACCGAGTAAAACAGAGGAACCGGCTGCTCCAGAACCAAAAGTTGAAGCTCCTGCTGAGGTTGAGGCTAAAGAAGCAGTAGTAGAAGCAAAGATCGAAGCTGAAGAGCCAATAATAGAGAAGACAAAAGAAGAGACTGAGGAGGTGACACCAGAGCCAGATGTAGAGAAAACTGAAGAAGAGACTCAGGAGGTCACACCAGAGCCAGTAGCCGAGAAGGTAGAAGAAGAAACTAAAGCAGCAGCACCGGAACCAGTTGTGGAGGAGACCCCGGAAACTACAGATTCCAGCGAAGCACCAGCTGCCCCAAAAGAGGAAATCCCTGAAGCAGAAGAGGAGAAACCAGCGGAAGTGTGATTGCATGAGTGGGGTCTCTTCTCTCCTGGGCTGGGCTGCATGTCGAAATTCCAATGTTGGGTTTAGGGTTAAAGAATAAGTATATGAATTGTGATGAGATGGATGGGCTTGAAATCTAGTAATAGGAATAAGCCCGTTGGACCCACAAAGCCCACCTTCAACGTGGTAAGTACATACAAATTAAAAAAAGAAATGTAAGACAATCTCCAAATCCTAATTGGAGGGTGAGTACACATGAGGGTGGGTGGGTTGGTTTCCGGGCCCTGGTGGATGAAATTGCGTTTTGGTGTAGTAGTGTTGTGGTGGTGCATTAGAAGTCTATGAAGGATTTCACTTAGGGTTGCAAAATAATTAAATATCAATAGTTAATAAATCATGGTTTCATTAATTAAAATTCTTCATCTTGTATCAATTCATTTTGTCATTTGTGCAAAGAGCCTTGCAGACTTTACAGTTGAAATTAGATCTATAAATTGGGTGGGTCCAATTTGAACTTAGGTTTTTAGTTTGTACACATACTGGACATCGATTTTCAAGTTGTATGTATGTATGATATATGTGATATATCGCAAGGTTCAAAGTATTGATATGGTTACACATATCGCGGCCGTATCGTATTAGTATTTAGAAATGTCTGAAATACTTTTTTTTTAGTTTTTTTTTATTTTGTTTTTTGGGAAGCTAAAAATATGTTTTTTATTATTAAAAAAATTAGAGTTACGAAACACCTGGAAACAGGTGTTTCAGACCACATTTTTTTAAAAAAATACGATACGATACACCCAATCGATACTTTAAACCATGAATATATGTATTGTATGATGCCAGATGGGGCTCACACATATAAACAATTAAGTACACATTTAAACCTGACCAAACCAGCAGCTTGAACCCAGCACTATTCGTGGTGGTTATATCTCAACTTCTCAACCTTGAGTTTGGACCGGCAACGCTTGGTTTTCAACCTTGGGTTGAGCTGATCCCGGACCGGAGATGGTGGGCCTAATTTGACCCTAAATCTGGTCTATATATGCTGCCCAAGTTATTCCCTTGATTGGCACCATAAGGTCAAATGAAATAATTAAGGCTTCTATCATGTAACATGTTTGTTTGTCCAGGCAGTCTTTCACTTGCTTATTAATAAAAAAAGCATATATAGTTTATTTATTGATTATTTACTTAGACACCGGTCCTTTATTAGTTTATTTATGGGTCATTTATTTAGCCAATCCTTATAAATTTACATATTTATTAAAATCTATCCTTAACTAGCATTCTATTAAGACACCCCTAAATTATCTCTAGTTCTTATTTATCCTATCCCCCACTTTTCATCTATATCTATCAAAAGAAAGTTTGAAGTAAAAATTTTAAGAATTTATTAAATATTATAATGAAATTATAAAATAAATATAAAATACTTATTAAAAATACAAAAAATTATCATAGATTTAATAGTATTCATATTATTAATAATTATATACTTTTATGAAATCCAGAATGAAAGTATGTACTAACAATATAAATTATAATTTTATGAATTATTCAATCTAAATATTATTCAAATAATAAAAAATAAAAAATAAAAATAAAAAATATTATTTAAAATTTTTAATAACAAAATACGAAAAATAGATAAATATTATATAAAAAATATTTAATATTATGTAATCACTTTAAAATAAATAAAATATAAATAATGAAAATTTTTAAATACTTTAGATTTTATTTAAATATTTAAATAACTAAATATATTAAATGAGAAAATATTTAACATAACTAAATAGTTAAAATAACAAAATTATGTAATAAAACTAAAAATTTTATTAAAAGTAGAAAATTGTTATAATAAATTTCATAATATTTGAATTAATAATAATTTTATATTTATATTTTATAAAATTGTTAAGGAAATTATGTAATAATAATATAACTTATAATTTCATGGATGATGAAGTTCAATAAATAAGTAATATTGAAATAACTAAATAATGGTATTATTTAAATAGATAAATTATATTGTAAATAACTAATTTTAAATATCTTAAATATTAAAAAATAATAGCAAAAACATATTTTGAATACTATTTAAAAATAAATAAAATAGATTAAATAAAGAAATTATGTAATAACCTTAAAAATTTACCAAAAACACAGAAATAACTATAATGGATTTAATAATATTTGATAATAAGAATATAAAATACAAATAATTTAATTTTTATAAATATTATTGAAATAATGAAAATAGAATAAATAATTTAGAGGTTTTGAAGCTTTCAAATAACAAAAGTAGGTAATAACTTTCAAAAAAATGTTTTTAATAGATATTAAAAATTATATTGATAATTGCAATTATTAATGTACTAATAGTACTGATAATAAAAACATCGTTTCACTTATATCAATTAATAATTCTAGAAAACAAATTTCAAAAAATTGATATTTATTAATAATAATTTTAAAATATTAATCTATATTTATTACATATTTATATACTAAAATTTATATTTATTGTAAAAAGTAATTAATTATTATATTTTTATGATAAATATATTTTCAATAATTATGTATAAATCTATTTTTGTTTTGTTATTTAACAGAAAATTTTCAATAATTGTTGGAGATTAAGCTGTTGTTATCTATTAGACATTAAACTATTAGTTTAGCTAAAATTAGGAGTGTTCATGGGTTGGTTTGGTTCTATTGTATGTTGTTTGGCCAACCAAATTGACCTGGCCGGGATGGAGAGCTGGTTAACCAAAACAAAACAACCATTAGTGAAAACCAACCAACTTGGGTTATATTGGTTTGTGTCAATTTTTGATTTGGTTGATTGGTTCAAAAGATTTAAACTTAAAAAATTAAATTTAAAAATTATAGTGGTATTATTAAAAATTTTAAATTTACAATATAAAATATTTAGACTAAGGAATATGGGAATTTTTCCACTTTTCCATATTAAAATTATTATATTTAATATGGAAATTGATATTCAGTTTGATTTTTGTTGATTTACAAATGGCCAAATCGAAATTGACCCAACCTGGTTAGGTTGGGAAATTGCTGAACCGAAACCCATCAGAAATACAAGAAAACCAACCAAATCGAGTCGAATTGGGTCGTGTTGGTCAGTTTCACTAGTTTGATCAACAACCTATCTGAAATTAATTATTGTTATTTTTGTATTGTAAAAAATTATTAAAAGTAGTGTATAAAATATAACTAATTATTAATTATTTAAAAGGTTAAAAGTATAAAACAATTGTCTATTCTTATGTGCTTTTATTATTTAGCTTTCTCTTAACAAAGCCCATGCATCGCACAGGTCCCTATTAGGTGCAACTTTAGTGGGTTGGATCGGGTTGAGGGTCAATCCAATCCTAAGCCTATAACCTCAAGCTCAAGCTTGGTCCAATTCAAGGTTAAGCATGAGTTTACCAACCTAGGTCCAACTCAACCTTAACTAAGCATCTTGGGATTAGGGATGGCAATTTCTACCTTACCCGGTGGGTATCCAACCCTACCCACCTCGATGGAACGAGTTTTCTTTTTTGTTTGAAGGACGGGTTTTGGGGCAAGTCGAGTTTTGGGATTCTATAACCTGTACATTACAAGTAGGGTACAGTATTAGGCTAAAGCTACCCCCTCAACCTGCATATTGTTGGAAGCATATAAACTTTATGTAAAGTGTTAAATTTAATAATATTTTGAATTAGATGTAAAGGATAATTGATAGTTTATTTATTATTTTACATTGTAATCAAATAATTGGAAATTTTGTTGTTTATTTATATTATTTTATGTATTTATTACTTTTATATAGCAAGAAATAATAGAAAATTAGATGTGGGTTTTAAACCCAACCCACCCCTACCCTTGAATATAGGGAGAGTTTTGCATTTTTATGTGTGGGGAGGGTTTGGATTTTCAAAATTCAACCCGCTAGGCGGGTAGAGTCTAGAATTTACAAAACCCTCCCTAAATCCACTTTATTGCCATCCCTACTCGAGCTAGGCTTGGGCTTGGGCATATTGGGCTTGAATACGCGTAAATGTTTGGCAAACTTAAGTTGCATCACATCAGTACCCGAAGCCTCAACCTATGCCCAATCTGAGTTTAGTTTAGGCTCGAGTTTTTTTGGCTCAAGCCCATCTTGAAGTTCAAAAACTCAAACCCAACCTGTGCAAAAAGCTTTGATTAAATTGGGTTAGGCTTGAATTGGGTACACCTAACTTGCACCCTTAGCTCAATTGCTTGAAATTGTTTTAACAAAGTCTATGCATCGCACGGTCCCTGCTAGTAATATATCTATTTAACTAGGTAAAATGAATGGTTTTATACGAAAATCAATTACTCCCCAAGTCTTTATATTTGTCAACAAAACCTGACCATTTTTGAAGTGTCACTGATAGTAATAGTGGTGATCATTATCAGCCCAACCCGACGTATCTATCTGTCTATCTATATATGATACCTATGGCTCAGTTTGGAAGGAATACAAATACAAACTAATAGAGTGCAAATCCTTGTATATTGTATGTATTTCTACTGTACACATTGTATTTTTACTCTTTCCTAACTAAACCTATAATACATTATTATATATAACAAAAATAAAATTTATATATAGATTGTATGACATAATATAAAATATTTTATATAATCATATTTTTAAATAAAAGTTATAGGCCCAACCTAGGCATGGCCCATGATCATCCCCCAAGTCATTGATCCTTGTAAATTTAACCTTAATTTGCCATGAGAAGAAAATGCTTGAAAATTGTAACTTTTTAACTGATTGGGAGACCTTTGAGAATTAAAAGGGTTAGAAAGCTAAGGCCATGTTTGGGAGTACTTAAAAATAAGTGCTTATTTGGGCCATTAAGCACTTATTGGTATTTGGGAAATAAGCCCAAAATAAGTGTTTATTTTAAAAATAAGCCCAAATTTCTAGCTCTTTTTAAGTGCTTATACAATAAGCACTTATTCAATTTTTTTCTTCCAAAATTATCCCTAGTTGAATTTTAAAATACCACTTATAAAATTATCCCTAGTTGAATTTTATAAAATTACTTTTATGAAAGCATTTTTGTGAAAATACTTTTACGAAAGCACTTTTATAAAAAGGGAAAATTTCTTAAACTACCCTTATGGTTTAGCTAATTGACTAACTCTACCCTCATTGTTTACATATTGTCTTAAACTCCCCCTACAGTTTATAACAATTGTCTAAAACTTCCCTTGCTGTTAATTTTCTGTCACACTTCGTTCACATGTGACATCATGTGATTGATAATTTTTTAAAATTCCTAAAATACCCTTCCTATATATTGTTCATTGTCCTCAACCTTGAGATGAAGAGCAAAGCGATAGTGATAAGAACCCCTACTCCTTTCGATTTGGGTAATGGGCACTCGGCACTCACCCTACCAAATTTGTTGTTTCAACTTTGAATCA